GTGTGTGTGTGTGTGTGTGTGTGTGTGTGTGTGTGTGTGTGTGTGTGTGTGTGTGTGTTTCTCAGAAATCATCCCTCGCTCCATCCTAATGACCACCTTTGAAGGCAGCTACTACCTGCTGTGTGCCCTGGGAGATGGCGCACTCTTCTACTTCGGTTTAGACCTGCAGAGCGGTAGGTTTCCTCTCACCATCACTACGCCCATTAGACGCGAGCTGCTCAGACCTTTCAGCCTGATTGGTGCCTCCGTGCGTGAGGCACATTGACATTTTGCAAAACCTTGTTTCGTGTAGAATTGTGTGACTGCKAGCGAGATGCTTTGGTGTAACGGTGGAGAATCTTTTCAGGCTTTAGAAACTCATTCACCAGCTGGTATTGATCCGCTGTCATCCAACGTGTTCGTGTAAAATGAAGGCCATGATTTAATCGAAAGAACTTTTAAAGCCGTAAAGCCAACCTTCCAAACATGACCGAAAAATACAGTTTTGATCTAAACTCGTACCTGTTTTATTGGTGTTGGTTAGGGATGAAATGTCTTTTTCCTAGAGGAGCTTTTTCAGTGAAAATAACTTGTTTTTTTCCCTCTCATTTGGGGAAAAGTCTTATAGTTGTTGCTTTGAACGTACCGTATCAAAAAACAAGGTCAATTATTAAGTAACTTATGAATAATTAGTTATTCTGTATGGCTTGTTTTGTTCGTCACTCCTGAATGTAAAAATGAATGCAGGCATTTAGTTCTTCATGCTAATTAGCAGTTACTCATTAACTCTGCTGTTTGCTGCTAGCAGTTTTGCTTTAAATGCTCGTGTCCACAATAGTTTTGCATGTGTGATGACTATGCAGCTTAGGCATACTTTAGTCATTTTAATAATCAGATTTGACATTTAAAACAGTGCCAAATGAAGCCATGTAAAAGCCTCCAAAAATGCTCGTTTTCATCCAGATTGCAGCATCACCCTCATATTAGGTTTTTTTTTGTCTTTATTATTATTTTTTTAATAGATGGTGCCAGCCTGCTGAATAATTTCAAACCCACGTTTCTGATGAAGGCTTTCTAATGCCTTCGAAAAAATGTGGGTGATGTTACCGAAATGACATCATCCAGTCAACATACCCAGCTGATAGCACCTCAGTGGTTCATTGTAGATTAGGAGACACACAAAACAATTTACAACAGTTTGTAAAGCTTGTGAATTGAAATTGAGGTGGTTAAATATACCTAATCATCAGTGTTCATTAAAACTGACTTTGAGGTTGATTTAATTTTGAATAAATCATTAGATTCATTATTTTAATATCTACCTTTTAGGTCTGTTTTTGTGGCTGTGTTTGTTGAGTAATTAGAACTTAGGTTACATCAATCTTCACTCACCCGTCAGGACATTAACAAGTTATGAGACTCTAAATTGAAGTGCAGTCAGGTGTTAAAAAGTGCTCCATTAAAGATGCATCTTATTGTCATTTGTGATTAATGACCAAAACAGTTTTTTTAAAGACCAAAATGACATCGCCCACTCGCATGTTTTTCAAACCATCAACTTTTAATACATTAATTTAACTCAAAAGAAAATCTACAATTTCTCACCTTAAAAAATAGATTATTATACCATTTTAAACAATTAGAAATTGTTGCTGCTTTTTATTGTTTTCAGTTGTAATGTGCAGACATTTATTACAATCTTTGCCTAAACGATAGTCTCAGTGCAGTAACTTGGATAATGTTCTAAGAATACACACAGGGATGTGAGTATAATCAGATCACTTCCCCTGAAAACTACTGGCCCTGAACTGAGCAAAACCAGAGCAGACATCACAAAGAGGATATGAGTGTGTCTATAAATGCACTTATTTACTTTGGTTTATTCAGATCATATCCATTCAGTGGATGTTAAAGAAGCAGGATGCAAGGACACGAATAGAACATGCCTTTTGAGAAACGTACGACTATTATAATGGCTGGCTGCACTAAAATAAAAATAAATCTGGACAAGGACACATGGAAAACACTTTCTCTTTTTTATATGATGCTCAGGGGTTCACTGAGCGCGCAAGGACAAATATTATTGCAAATTACTCCACAGATCCAAGCAATAACTGGTTCATCCACTTTTTAAAGTAGAATTAATTACAAGCCTCAACCTTATCCCCCTTTCCCAGGTGCCCTCAGTGAGCGTAAGAAAGTCACCCTCGGCACACAGCCCACCGTGCTGAGGACCTTCAGATCCCTTTCCACTTCCAACGTCTTCGCCTGCTCCGACCGACCCACGGTCATCTACTCCTCCAACCACAAGCTGGTGTTCTCTAACGTCAACCTCAAGGAGGTCAATTACATGTGCCCACTCAACTCTGAGGGCTACCCCGACAGGTGTGTTGGGAAACCTTTCCTTCTCTGTTCAGATTGTATCTTTATGGAAATCTTCCTGCTCGTTTCCAAGCCCTTTATTTGAACACCTCACTGTTTTCTGTTGTAACCTTTGAGTTTACCCAGCTGTGTCAGATTACTCTCCTCTGGCTGCAGGAAAACATACAATCCCTCTGTTTCACCTGTCAGACAAGGATGCATATTCCTGTCTTGTTTTAGTATTAATTATGCTGTTGTTTTTTTTTTTTTGTTTTTTTTTTTTTTTTTTTTTTTTTGCTTTAGTCTGGCTCTGGCCAACAACAGCACTCTGACCATCGGAACCATTGATGAAATTCAGAAACTCCACATCCGCACAGTTCCACTCTATGAGTCTCCAAAGTCAGTCCACTCTTCAAGCAGACTTGCATTTGAACCTGAAATAAATGCATTAATTATCTGCCTGTTTTTCATAATCCTTTCTCCCCCACCATCCCTTTGACAACTGATCAGGCGGATCTGTTACCAGGAGGTTTCGCAGTGTTTTGGGGTTTTGTCCAACAGAGTGGAGATTCAGGATGTGAGCGGCACCACCTCTGCCGTGAGACCCAGTGCCAGCACTCAGGTACCGTGGATAATAAGCACCCCAGGGTTTTTTTCCCTCCTACTTTGATGTAATCAAGTATGTTGAATAAAATTAATTAACTAAAATCTTGTCAGGAAGATAAATGTTTTCATTGACATCAAGTAGATCTGCCAGAAGTGAAATGTCGACTGATTTTAAACATAACCTCAGTGTTTGTTTGTTTGTTTGTTTGTTTGTTTGTTTGTTTGTTTGTTTTAGTTTTAGTTTTATCAATAAAAAAACTTAAAATTTCAATTTTACTACACCAAAGCTGAAACCCATGCTGCACCACAATATTATTTGGGCAGCACTTCACAATAAAGGTCATTCTCATAATTTTAAGCAGGGGTGCTTGCTTGTGGGGCWGGCTCAGTAACAGCAAATGATGGCTTTAAAATGGCTTTTAACTTTGTGAGGAAGATAATGCTTTACTGACAAATTGGTGCCAGAGACAGAATTGTCCCAGAATATTAAAGTAAACATAAAATTTACAGTTTTATATGAGAATGTTTCATAAAACAAATGCCTTGTTGTGCATCGCGTTTTTGGGATTTCTTGTAATATTTTATGCCAGTTAATCACTGCAAAAAGTCTTCATCTCTTTAATATTTCACTGGTTAGACTTGATAATTTTTGTAATTACCATCTTTATGTGTGTATATTGCAAAAACATAACCCCCAAAACCATCTATAAAGTTGGGGGGTGGCATTATACATGAGAGTAAATTCAGATTTTTTTTTAATGTACTGTGATATAAGGTTTTAATATTTTTTGTATATAACAGAAGTATTGTCTAATGAGGGAGACATTATCTTAATTTCTCTCTCTGTCCTAATAATAGAATATGTTGTACGTAACTAAGCATATAAACAACAACAGTAGTTTATTTTTTCACAATAAATTCAAAGAGGAAAAAAAATACATTTTTTTGTTAACCTCAATGCAGAAATGGAAAGTAGACATGGATGTCAGTTGCTTGTTTGCATGCGCAATAAGACCAGACAAGCACTCTTTGAAGCTGTCCATCTTAATTTAACCACTGACTTCTGCTCTGGGACCAGATCATTTTCAGCAACTTCCAGAAGCATCCACAGGTGTTGGTCCCTTAAAATAATCTGTTTCCCTACTAGAGGACTACACAGCAAAAACTGAAAGTCCTGAAATTATGAAATAAGGAGAAGCATTATACACAAGGATAAGATTTAAAAAAAAATTTTTTTTTTAAGCTCAAAAAATGGTGGGTCGTATTATACTCTAAATAAATGCTCTTATTAGGCCTCCCTTAAAAAGGGCTTTGCGATCTTAGTGGGATTTGCCTGGTTAAACAGTGATAAAGTTAAAAAATGCATTAAACTTGCATAAATGTGGTGTGTAAAAAATATGACAATATGGAGCTGCATGCAACATCAGTCAATTGTGACATACAGTATTTGTGTCATTTATACACACACATTACAGTTTAATACATGCAGTTTAAAAACATGACTGATACCTGCACACATCCTCTTATCCCGTACTTGTGTGGGACACAGCAATTATCCACATGCTGCAAAAATGTCCTTGTTTTTTCTTTTCTTTTTTTTATGGCACCACATCAAAGACATGACCACAGTGAAAAATGAGAAATCTATCTACATGTGTCTGCTCATTTACAGGAACAAGATTTCCAAGCAGTGCACAATAAATAAATATAGACAGGACCATTACTTTATGCCTCAATAACATCTCTGAGCGTTTTTGCCTAATTAAGCTAAATGTAGCCTCTGTTTGAGCTAAATCAAAGTACATGAAAGTTAATTAACTCTTGTTTTGAGTTTTTGACAGTAAAGACAGTGAGGCTTTAGTCACCGACAGCGAGCAGCACAAGCAACCGGGTTCCTTGGAGAGAAATTCAAAAAGGCTTTTTTGTCAGGTTTACAATCGCGGCACGTGTTGTCTATTCAGCCAAGCTCTATAGATTTTCCAAAGAGGCACGTGTGCGCTTTTATTTGTGTTTGTGTTTATTGCCGCTGAGCCTGCTGCATGTGATGACCAGAATGATGTTTACCTGATTTTAAATGCTGCACATCTGCTGCTGCAGATGGTGCCGACTGTGATGTTCCCACAGCTCATACAGAAATAGAGATTTGAATTGTCTATTTTTTTCTGCCCTGAACTATGTTGGTCTTTGTCCTCCTTTCTCTTTGTGTTCTAATCTCATAAATTTACAGGCTCTCTCCAGCAGCGTGAGCTCCAGCAAGCTGTTCCCCAGCAGCACTTCTCCACACGAGACCTCCTTTGGTGAGGAAGTGGAGGTTCACAGTCTGCTAGTTGTGGATCAACACACCTTTGAAGGTGAGATGGCTTCACATGTTCATTTCCATTTGAAGTCAGAGATTTGCAGCTTTCATCAAAAGCTTCTGGTGGTAAAATGGTCTCAGCTTGGCACAGTAATTGAAATGGAGATGAATCATTGTAATCAACCGAATTGGGTTTCATCTGCATTGTATTTCCACCATCCTGATTGGATTTCATGTCCTGTTTTATTATTTAACCTTTAAGTTATTTCTCACACTAATAATTTTAAACAACTTTTTTGAGAATGTGTCGTTAATTCCCAGAATCTAAAGTGCCCACAGTGTCTCTCTATGAATGATTGAACATGTTTGGCGTCCTGCAGGTTATCTTCATGGGGGACGCTTTATGAATGTAGCTTTTTTTTTTTTGCTCCATTCTGTTTTGCAATGCAGATTTTAGCGTGCCAAGCTTTACTTGTAAAATTCCAGTCATTACTACGCCCACATAAATTAGGGTTAGCCTCGTGTTAACAATATGTAAATAAGGGGACTGTTTCAGCACATTGTGTTCACAGCTGACAATGCTTCATTAATGCACCATTGGATAACATCTCATACTGATACAGTGGGTGTACTGCTACTTCTACTCAGCTTAATTAAAAAGGCAGCCTAAAAAATATTACCCAGTTTCTCTACAGGTGGAAAAGGTTAAGCAGAGCGATGGAGATTGCTAAATAATATATTTGTTCGTAGGACACAGTTTGCTTGATTAGGTCTATCAAAATATTGATGTAACAAGATATTGTCCATTTTGTTTAATAAAATAATSATAATGCTGCTGTCGGCTGTTAATATTCTGATTAGATGATGTGTTGAAAAAAGGCTGCCCTGTTACTGAGACTGCTGCTGTGTGGTTTCTAGGGATGTCCCAATACAACTTTTTCACTTCCGATACYATATCGATATTACAACTTTGAGAATTGTCCGATACCGATATTGACCGATACTGATATTGACCCGTTATCATAACAGTAAAAGTCACACACTTTTACCTATTTTGTAATGTAAAATCTTAGAAAAGTCTTGATCAAGTCAAACAGTGAAAAAGAGTAGGTATGAGAAAAACTGACCCATTTATTTTTAACCAATGGATCACATACATTTTAAACTGAAGAACATTATACAATTTAATAAAATAAATTATAATACCCTGAAAAATAAAATATAATAAAAACAAAATGTTCTTTTAAAGTATAAAATAACAATTCAAAATCACTTTGGTTATTGTTTTACTACCTGTCAGCCTGGTGCTGCTTTATGGTGGAAAAAACTGAAGGTGGGGACAAAACAAAAGCCCACATTATTGTCTGTTCAAAGTTAAGAGTCCACAGCTCRAATTTTACTGACTGTAACTAAAACAACGCGATCATTGCACTTAATCTTCACTCAAACAAGTGTGTAAACAGATTAAACATCACTCTAATAAGAGCAAAAAATAAATAGTAAGAATTAGTCAGTTATTTAAATTGATAGCTACCTTTCTTACTGCTGCATTTTCTGAGCATCATATGGAGATTAGCCTCTCGCTCCTGCAGGGAGCAGATTTTATCACTGCTCTCGTCATGTCGTGCTTATATTTCAAAATAAAAGCTGCGCTCTCCTTTCTTCTGTCCATCAAGAYCTAATCCACGGGATGTCAAAACTGTAAGCGTGCTGTCCTCGCTTCTGCCAGCTTAGAACCACCGACCAGACCAGAGAGGAGGTTCCGAAACAGCGCGGCTGTGTGCGGTCACTGGACCGAGGCTGAACYAACCGAGCCYAAKCGCAAAGCTGCTTCCAGGGTGGAGAGTAGTTGTCGCTCCGGTTTAAAACACGGTTCTGTTCCCCCTCGGAAAACTTGTGCGTGACAACTTTACACTTAGCTGCAACTCTGTTTCTGATGAAAATAGAAAGTTCTGCTGACATTCTTGCTAACTTGTTAGCGCTGCATGTTGTTGTGATCATGTGAGCGCTACATGCTGGATCCAAGCGCTGCTGGATAGAAACACTGGAAGTGGAGTCAGTGAACTGCTGGAACGGACTGCTAATATCGGAGCGCTTATATCGGACATTTTTTATGCAGGCCGATAAAATCCGATACTCATTTTTTGGCTGATATCGGACCGATATCAATATCGGATCGGGACACCCCTAGTGGTTTCATAGTTAGTCTTAAATTTGCCACACAAAGAAGTTGACGGAACGTTTTTTTTTATTCTGCACAACTGGGATTTGTTGTTATTATTTTTTTTACCAGTCAGTGTTTATGGGGAAATGCTGTTCTTGTAAATTTGTAGTTTTTCTTATAGTATAATATTTTTGGCATATTTGGGCAGCTCGGTGGTTAGCACTATTGCCTCACAGCAAGAAGATCCTAGGCTTGATCCCCGGTTCAGGCCCAGAATCTTTGGTGTTTGCATGTTCTCCTCATTAGGGCTGCAAGTAACGATTATTTTAATAATTYATTAATCTGTCAATTATTTTTTTCGATTAATCGGCCAAATCATTAAAACGCTTAATTACATGAATATGAGTAGATAAAAATTAATTTCATTCCTGTATAAATTAGGGGTGCAAGTTATTGATTAATTAATTGATCTGAAGTTGATTTATCTAATAGATTGACTAACAATTAATTGATAAGCAGCCATTTTCTTAAAAACTGGAGTTTTCGCTTAAATCAAGAGGGTCTTTTCATAACATGAAGGATTTTTTTATAATCTCCTGAATTAAAAAAACAGAAGCACATAACTATTTTAACAATTTATTTTGCCAGTTGTATTAAATACAGACTGAAAAAAATGTGTATTTCTCATACATGAAACGTAACAGAAATTTAATAGGTTGCTGAATGAGGAAAATAGAATAAAATATGATTTTTAGATGTAAAACTATTATAAATTTCTTTTAATTAGAATTTATTTACATTTAACATTTATAATTTTCTCTAATTCTTTACTTTTTGCTTCATTCTTGTTGGTTCTTTCTGACTTGACCCAGTATAAGTGGTTCTGAAGCAGATTTATAAAAGGCTAGATAAGCTTAGGCGGAGTCTCCGGCATCGTCACACGGCGGCTATCTTGGTACAGCTAGCAAACTAGCAGTGACTGTGGAAACTGTATTGATGTGAGTGATTTACACAAACAAGAGACGTTTTACTCGCTAAAATCTTGACGGATTTACAAACAGTTTGGTTTGTCACAAAGGTTATTCACGTGGCTATGATTTGGGCTAGATGGACATGTTGAGAATGCAGCTTTAATTAAAAAAGGATTAATTGTGTTGCATATGTTCACAGCTAGGGCTGTGTATTGGCAAGAATTTGGCGATACGATACATATCATGACAGAGGGGTCACGATATGATATATCCC